CCACAGGCACTATAGTCTGTGGTCATGCAGTTCCCTAAGCAACTCTGTGACTGCTTATCAACTCATTGTCTTTTGAATTCACTCAGCTGCTTCTCTCAGAACTGCTCGAGCCCTGTCCTTGCAGGAAACCTTGCATGCGAGCTTCTTTCTCTTACAGCCCATTAGATTCAAAATTTCAAGTCACCTCTTTATATGAGCTTCATCTAAGACCCTCTCTGTTATCAAGGGCCTTGTAAAATGGATCATTATAGCTTACCATGTGAGTTTGGCTCAAATAGTGACTCTAATAAACGTATGTATGAATTTGATACCTCATGAATTCTCTCCTACACGCTCCAATGCCTGCCAAGGCAGTTTTAGTTCTATCTGTACCATAACCCACTTATCTTCTTGGAAATAGAAGGGTAAGCACAGAATCAGCCCAGCAAACTATTACAGCATATGAAACAGGCCAAGTTCGCTTTCAGAAGTTTCACCTAACCTGCAGGGCTGATGCTGTCCTTGCCACAACCACCTAGATCACAAACTCGGCCAAAATGCAGCTAGAGGCATTTCTGGATGAAAACTTAAATTTCTTTCACCAAATATTGCACTGAAAAAAGGGAAAAACTCGGGGAGGTGTGCATGCCTAATCCTTAGCCAGAGAGATATGGCTTAGAATCTCTTTCAGATTTCGCCATGTGGCAAGAGGCTAGAACGATCCAAGGCCTTTATTCAGCTCCTCACACATGCTGAACAAGCTGAGGTTTCCCTTATTTTAAGGAACTACTCTTTACTCCTTTGATCTGCTGCAGGAAGGAAAAATTTGAGTGACAAAACACATCTTTGCTAAAGGACACTTCATTTTCCAAAGTCATATTGTCTTCTCAGATGAAGTATACAAATTTTAATTAGCCTCAAAGCAACAGCAGTGTCATATACGCACTTTCTCTTAATTTAAAGGAGGTACATTTTATAGACATTATATAAAAATTAACTCAGCTATCACTTAAGTACAGGAAGCATTGCTTAAAAATTATTTCCAGGATAATGTAATCCTACCTAAAAAAAGTAAGGTAAAAATGACTGTGTGTGTGTAGACTTCCAGGCGCTATAAAATGTAAGGAAGTCACCTTTTTAAAAAGGACTATATATTAGTTGCATTAGGCACAGCTGGCTCTGTTAGTGCAACACAGAAATGCTGCAAAGAAGAAAGGGGGATTGTAATTTAAGTTTCTGTCTATGATTTATGTATTTCAGTTTGTTGAGTTGCATCCTTCCTAATGAATACAATGCATCACCTAAATCACTTAAATTGAGACTGGGAAATGACAGAGTTGTGTCTCCCCTTACCAGTGCTTTCCCACAACCAAACACTACATCTTGTTAGGACAAAGACTTCAAGTATTTGTTAACAATACATTAGTTCTCCATTCAACACAGAAAACAATTAATGACTTGGCTGAGAAGGTTATAACTTTCTATGGGACCAATAATGCCATAAGCGATGGAAAGATCAGTATATTTACCATAGTTACCCATTACTACAGAGCTGAAAAAGGAATAATATGTTGTATAACTATTTTCCATACAGCAGCAAAACCACACTCGATTTATTCAAACATTCAGAAAAGTTCCAGGGCTTCTGAACAGATTATGATCTTCACAATAATGTAGCTCTTTAAATGCTGTTTTCTTCCAAAATTCTATGCAACACCCCTACAATTCATTAATATGTATTTTTACATTGACATAAGTCAGTCTCCTAAACTACAGAACTCATTATATCACTGGAATAAAAATCATGTAAAGATCGTAATATGTCATCAGTTCTTGATTCTGCTTTTGCACAAGCGTCTGACAGGACAGTAGCAGACCCCGAAGTATCAAGCATACAATGAAAGCAGAACTTCTGAGAACACAGCATGTGATGACTTCAGAGGACCCAGTGTATAAATATGACCGAAAAATGGTCTGTTACTGATGAAGCCTTTACAGCTGCCTAACGTCAGTCTGAGTATAACTAAGAGGACAAAGATAATTGGTAAAATATTCCATATATGGCAAAAAAAAAAAAAAAAACATAATAAGAAAACACAATCCCTTCTAAGAGAGAAAGAACAAAGAAAAGACAGAGCCATCTCCATTCAAATATACCACATCAGATCAGCCTATTTATCCACCCAAGTCCTCCTTCACCTTCAGTGGAGAAAAAGAGGTGCTTTTTGGTTTGTCACCCACCATAGTTTGCTAATGCAACTCAACAATCATATATAAAGCATTTTATTTTGCTGTCTAACTGGGGGAAAGAATAGCACGTGCATGGGTGCATGTTTTCTACTCCAGCCTTCTGATAAAGTAAGACTGATAACTGCGGCACTGAGTCTGAGTCAACTCAGTGACAGGAAGAGATTAAGCATAATACATACCATTTTCTGTCTGGGGGTATTATTTTGACTGATAGTGTATGTGAGTAAGAGTCCACGAGCCTGAGTAGCACTGTACATCTGTATCAGCATGTATGCTTTGTTCAGATCCTTGCTAAAGCTGAGAACAAAGTAATGATGTTAGACAGCTTCCAGAAACCAGCTTTTAAGAACGTCATATTGATTCAGTCCTTTCAAAGAAACAAACCATACTTTCAAATCTAGTTTATGTTAACTACAGAAAGGCTTTGACTGTATGTGCTTTTTTAACTCTCAATAGCAGAACTGACAAGCTCCCCCCTCCCTTCCTGATTTTTTTTTCCTTGTAAGCAATTTATTTTTTAGTTATGTTGTTTAAAATGCAATGTTGGCAATGAGATATTGCTAGAGGCTTTGGACTGATGCCTTCTAAAACTTCCACTTCTCTCAACTTTTACTAGCAATAAAGAATTTGTCTCTAGAAACATGTAATTTTGATTACAAAATTACCCCAAAAACATAAATGGAATTTAATTGGTTACAAAGTAATATTTTCACATAGTCAAGGGATTGTTTGGGGGATTTAAGACATAATTTATTAGTTCTGGTTAAGGTGCACATTTTGATTCCTACAGGCAAATAACAAACTGATTAGTAAGTGTAATAAAGCAATTTATTTGTCTGATAATTGGCAGCTAGAAGTGCAATAACTTATTTGATCAACTGCCATTTTGAAGAACATTAAAGCTTCTCATAATTATGCTATCTATATGGTATGCAGACAAACAACAATACAGCATTACCCCTATTACACTAGTGATTTAAGATGATATTTCTGCCAGGTTTTGTACCTTTCTAGATAATGCAAAAGGAAGTAATTACTTTCTGTACTGAAAGATTGAAGAATTTACTCCCTTTTAGATAGGCAAAGAATTTGACTATAGGAAGAACTAAAGATGATAGCTTCTCTCAATCAATTTTTTTCTGATATTCAAAACCACGCATGTCAGTTTTGAGAAAGAGTTCTTAGCTTTCCAGTCATTTAGTTCTTCAGAATCCTGTAGCTGTCAAGTGAAGACAGACACCCCTCTCTGGCAAGCTTTTCCAGTTTGTTACATAAAATGAAGTTCTTCTCATGTTCCTTAATTCAATTACTTTGTCAGGTTAACATCAACAGCTGACAGCTTTCGGAGTCCAGCTCTCTGAAGGCCTGGCCTCACTGAATTCAGTGGACCGAGGCCAAGAGAGGAAGCCGCTGCAGAGCCAATAAACGCCACATTTCACACTTTCCATTACACAATGGAAAGGACTATGACAAATGTATAACATCACCTTTCTGAGGTCAAACGAGACCTTCAGCGACCTAGGTAAGGAAATATTTACCACTTAGAAGTTTAGATGAACCAGAGCACACTGCCTTGAGAAGGTCAGTGAAGACTGCCTTGGTTCCCTACTGTTTTACTGAAAATGTCTTACATGCAATTAAAAAGAAAACCGGGAAAAAGATATTACACTAAAATCACACAAGTCTCAAGAAAAAGTGAACAAGCTAAAAAAATTTAAACACGAAGACAAATGATATATGATATACTATAACTCACACAGATACATAAACACAAATAGAAAATAGTTCTTTTCATTTAAATTCAACATCAATACAAGTAATGTTTTTCTACTACGCTCAAAGAATCTCATTTCAAATAGATTTACAGTTTAAAATCCTTGGCAGAGAATGAATCCTGGAAAGCTACTTTGTGCTATATGAGAAAGGTCAAAAACCTTGTTAAAATCCTAATGGAATTTAAGTTTTTATAACTGGAAACTTATGTTCTGTATCACTGAAAACTAGAACAGTCTCTATTTTATCATCATTTCTCATTAAGCCAATCTACAAAAGTACAGGTCTACTATTAAGAAGCTCAATATGCTTACATTTCTAACATACTGTTCTGAGAGACCTTACATAATTTAACTTTCATAATAAATATTTTAACAAGTTGTACACTCCCTTTCTACACTATAAGCTTTCAAACAAAGGTAGAGGAGTGCTAAGGAAATACCACAATTCATTTTCTGGAGACTCTATTCCACTGTAAAAGTTGTGAATGATCTGTCAATCAGCTTATGTTTTACCTCATTTCCTGAAAAAGACAAGCAGTGGTAGGTTTTCCTAGCTCTTCCTAGCAGCCACTGTCACTGAGGACTTCTACCTCAAATCATCTCCTTTCTTAGGATTCGACTGTCTTATTAACAAAGAAATTAAGTACAAAGTAAAGACAGCAAACTGTACAAACAAGCCTGTGGCTAAGTCATGATTTCTTACATCTCTATCTTAGCTAGGAAAATCCTTATTTATCAGTCATGATTTCACACTGTACAGTATAAAGAACGTTGCAGAGCTGCGTTGCTGTGTAGTACATACCCCATGTTCTTTAGCAGCCATAACCACTTTTGAAAGAATATCTTCTTCAACAAATGGCCTCACAGCATCATGGATAATCACTACTTCTGGTTTCTGGAGCAGATGGTTGGAAAATTCATTGTCTGCAAATACTTTCAGTCCATTGAAAATTGACCGGTGACGAGTCATTCCACCTTTTACTACCATAACTCTTTTGTGGCCATATTTTTCAATGATAGACTTCATTGTTTCAATATTTTCAGGAGAGACCACCACAATAATGTTGGATATCCAACTTATCCTGGAAGAAACAGTAAAAAAACAGAAAAAGTAGACATGAATGGCTAAATAAAAGTACAGATATTCCCATGAAACAAATAAATTAGTATTAAAAAAAAATTCAAGATGGTTAAATAAAGCATCTTTCAATATACTCAAGTCTATGTCTTTGTGTGTGTACTAGCACTCCACCCCTAAAGGGAGAGCTACATGACAGGATGTCTACCGACACATGGATGCATGGATGCCAACCAAAGTAATGGGAATTCGACTTGCTTCCAGCAACCAGTTTGCAGACGCTTTTTTAATTTTTTTTTTTTTTTTTTTTTTTAAAAAAAGGCTTTCTCTAAATTCAGTCTACAATAAATTGGTAAATCCTTGGACACGTGGAATACTCCATGTTCTACCATGCAGTACACTCTGTACAAGTGAATAAGAGAATCAAGAAAAACTCTGAAACAAAGATCACTATCAAGACAGGCATAAGTAGGAATTGACAGATTGCTAATTAATCAAAACTGTGACACCTGCATATTGGCCGTAAACATTATACTGGCAGTTTGCAAAAAAAAAAAAAAATATAGATACATATGAAAGTTTCTTCTCTAGAAAGCTAGTAAAATGTAAAAACATAGCTATGAAAAGCATATTTTCAGAAAACTTTAAGCTTCTACTGTTAGTATCAGCCTAGCTCTACAACTGAGGAGTGATGTGGGGGGAGAATGACCCACCACCCACAAGATTAAAACCAGTCATAACTGAAGTTGTACTTGTGTCAAAGGACCTTGGAACACAAATTATAGTCACATGTGACATACTATACTTCAAAATAATGGAAATACCATATTCAAATCTATCTACTTGAGTAGAGTCTTACTTCCTAAATGCTATGCAGAAAGCATAAAAAAGGATTTAAAATTGTTTTGTCTCCTTTCTCTGTCTCCACGGATGACATGAGTGGTTTTTAGCAAGACAGACAAGAAACTCATTAGATGAGCAATGATTACAAAAACTATTTGCTATTTACTAGAGTAAAATCACTTGTGTAGCCTAGGCATCCAATTAGGAAGGGAGACAGGTATGGTATGTTCTCTTAACTAAAACTAGTAAAGCTATTGAAACTATTTTTGCAGACATTAGATGGACTAAGGTACTAAACACTTCCAGTTAGAAAGATAAGAGTAAGAAATTTATAGTTCAGAAATATACAGGCTCGAGCTATTGGTTTCTGCAATAACACAAGAAGGCATTGCCTAGGAACTATCCTTACTCCAAAAGGAAAGTCATCTGTGATACAAACCACTCCCTTAAAACTATGTGAAACAACAGAGCACCTACAAGAAAGCTGGGGAGGGACTTTTTACAAAGGCAGGCAGTGATAGAACAAGGGCAATGGGTTTAAACTGAAAGAGGAGAGGTTTAGATTAGATATTAGGAAGAAATTCTTCACTGTGAGGATGGTCAGACACTGGAACAGGTTGCCCAAGGAAGTTGTGGATGCCCCCTCCCTGGAAGTGTTCAAGGCCAGGTTGGATGAGGCTTTGAGCAACCTGATCTAGTGGAAGGTGTCCCTGCTGATGGCAGGGGCGTTGGAATTAGATGATCTTTAAGGTCCCTTCCAACCCAAACCATTCTGTGATTCTATGATCTTCCACCCTCTGTGTTTTTTCGTAATTAGTAGAACTCCAAGGAAAATTATATCAATGAATTTTAAAATAGCTATTAAAAATAAAATGAATGGAAGTGCTATTAGAATTCTTCAAAAGACAAATATTTGTCCTTATGTTCATTTCATTATGAACAAAGGCAGAAAATACAGCCAAATCAACATATTCTCAGCAATTTTTCAGTACTGTAGTTGTTTAAATGTAAAATCTGAAGTAATATGGTTTCAAGTGTCATTTCAACTTTTCACTCACAACAGGTTCATCAAAAGGTTTTCAAATCTCTCACGAGTCTGGCATAGTCTTACATTTAGGGTACTACAAAACTTAGTACCTCTGCATGACTTCAACTCAGAAGTAGGGCAAACTAATTGGATTCATCTCAGTTCCTCTTTTGAATATTGCAAGTCAGTCAGTTAAATAACACAAAATTCAAGAAGAGCTATTTCACACTAAATATTAGAATAAGAACTCTGCACTTTTATTCACAGAAAGACTATAGCCTTGCACAGTTCCTGTAAACAGTGGCCAGTCTGTACATTTGCTAGTGACTGTGTAAGAAGAACACTGACATTTCCCATTCTGGAGTCAAATGAAACAGATTATGGGGCAACTGGGCAGTTCACAGCATCTTCTGAGAAGAAGGGAATTCCCGAGAACAGAAGTACTGGCCAGCCTATGATAAATCTCTGCACAGGGGTATGGAATGGCTCAAGGCCTTCAGTGGTAAAATACACCAAAAAAGTGACAGGATGCGGTCACAGCTCCACCCTGTGTCTGGATAAACACATTTATAAACTTGAGTACGTCCTCCTTAAACTCATTCTGGACTGATGTTCTGCAATTAGGGATTCAGAGATGCAATATATTCATATAGAGTATAACGACTGATTACATACAAGAACCGCTTAGGCTTTGAAGCCTAACATGTCCCATCAAAACTGATTTATAAAACTCATGAAAAGTACTAGTTCAGTAAAGTATGCTACTAATTTAGTAAAGTACGCCACAAATTCTCACAAATGAGAACTGTGCATCACACAGGTGCTTAATCTTTTAAAGATCTGCTTATGGAAATATTGCAAAGTGTTCTAATGAAGTAGAAAGACACCAGTATACACTCAATCTGGCAGTAAATGGATTTTTTTTTCCCTCTCTCAATTTGTCACACCTTTTTCTTCAGAAAGATTTCATACTAAAACAGTAAGAAACTCAGGACATGCTCCAAACCACTTTAAAAATAGTAAGCAGCCTTTCCATTTTATAACTAATATTAGATCAAGATAATGCAAGGTTCAGAAAGAATCGGCACAAGGCATGAAAAAGATCAGAATAATGTACCCCAATGTGCTTTAACAAGCACTAAATGCAGAACTCTAGTGCTTCCATACAACATAGGCTATAATTCTAAAGGGGAAAAGTCACATCTGATCAAATGAAAAGTAACACACCCAGTTAAAAATCACTTCACAACTGCCTTGGGAGGACCTCGATATTAGGAGAAGGAAAACAATGAGGCAGAAAAAGACCATATGTCTGTTTCTTCCAACTGTCCTTCTTGTCATCATTGACAGACAGATCAGCTGCCTAGTAGAAAAGAGTATTGTTGCATTAAATTTCAAACTAAAGTACATGCATTTATACTAGCTGAGATAGAACTCAAAGTAAAGGAGCACATTAACTCCACAACATATTAAGCTATTCATGACCTCACAACACAGACTGCAAAGGAAATGAAATAACCAATTAATTATGCTCTGAGACTGTATCACATCAATTGCATGCGGAGGTACAAATGTGACGGAAGTTTAACCCTCTGTTAGTTCACTCACATACAAACCAGTGCTGAGTATGAAATCTGACATAAGGCTTAAATACGCATACTGAGTTTCTTGCAACTCTTATCCAGACCAGTAACAACCCATTTAACACCAAACTTACTGGAACTGGCAGTTTTACCAGCAGAACAAGGCTGGAACCAGGCAGTCACTGCTGAGATGGCTTTAGTAGTGTAAGATATGATCTTTCACGGCCACAGAAACTCTTCAGAGGTACAAGATAAATCATTACATTACTTTTGCTGATCTTGTTATTCAAGCAAAAAGAGAAAAAGAAATGTCAAGAACAAAATGCATTTGCAGAATGCAAGCATAACTTCCTTTTGCTCCATAACAACATTTACCTTACTCTGTTTTCCTCTGTATAGATTTAGTAAAAGATGTGTGCACATGTGCACAGAGTTGAGATTCCTCCCTGTCTCCGAAAAGGAATTGCCAAGGTTCTACTCTAAACAAATATATATACAAAAAAAATAAAATTAAGGAAGAACTCTACTGATTTGTACAGAAGCAAAAAGGAGGAATGTCATTCTAGTTCTGTTGAACTTGATGCAAAAGCACAGTTCAATAAAAGTGGAAACAAATCCAATGGGAAAAACAGACATTTAAGTTCTCTAACACACTTTAATTTTACCCCTAAGGTAGGACCTGACCTTCCTATCAGCAACACTCTATTGGCAATAAAATCCAATCATTTCTCCTCACCCTATTTGTTCTCACCTCCTCTTCCGATGTGGTCCTCTTTGATTAGTATTGGCAGGCCAATGTTCTACAGGCTGTCATCCTACGCAACAGGCTGCACTCCTTATTCATTCATCTCTGCCCGTCCTGTCCGACAGTTTTTCCACATCAATATTCAACATTCTAACTACCTGCAGCTGAACACTGTGAAAATCTTTTTCTCCTGATTTTTAAAAAGCACATTCGAAGCAGCTGCAAATTCTTGATTTGCTCATGTATTTCCATCTATACATTGCTCAGTTTCTTCCAGATTAAAAAAAGCTCAAAAGTTGGTGCAGTAGCTGAGATAACCAGTTCAACAGAAGTTATTACAGGCTAATCAGTCAATGATTCATTCCATTACAGCAGGTAAACAACATACATCAGAAGACAGCATAAAGCTGAACAGAAAATCTGCCACTTCTGGGTGATAGATTATGTGACAAACTATAGTTCCCCAATATTACGTCTTTGTGCAACCATTTGCACAAAGAACAAAGTACCTCCTGTGCACTTTCAGAGTCAGAACTAAAAGTGTTGAGACAAAAATGAAAGCCATTCCAAGCTTTAGGGTACACCTGTTCCCAGCTCCCCATACACATACATACCAGCCAGCACAGCATTTCAGTACAAGGATGGCAGAAAGCTCTGCCTGCGAGAGCACTGGCACCAGTTTTTGCACTCCTGAAGTGAAGCAAAAGCACTAGGTTGTTACTCTCACAATCAGTTTGGGATCACACGCCCGGCTGGACCGTACAATTAGAATTCAACCTTCTAATTTTTTGCAGCTTTAGGACATAAATATAATACTGTTGCTCAAAGAACTGTTATTTTCCCAGAGCTTACTGGCAGCAAAATCAAAGATTTTTTTTGTTGTTGTTAAATGAATAATGTTTTATTTTCCTATGAATATCATTTCCTTCCCAAACCTCACTCTGTTCTCTTTTCCAGGTCTCCAATACACTGAGTGAGGATATTATTCTTCTCTGTAGATTCCCATGACACTTTGGCAGAAATTACAGCTGTGACAGAAAAGCTTTGGATTGGACGTTTTGCTTACTGATGTGTTTAGCTTTGTGACTGGCTGCTGTTGAAAATTAAATAAAAAAAACAAGCAATATTTCTTTCATAAAGTAACAAGTGACCTTAGGGAAGCCTCTCTGGGTGGGAATGAAAAAAGAGTCCCAATTTTGATGTACAAGTTTCCGTGAGTTAAGAACTTTGGGACACTTTAGCAATTCCATTTCTTTTCACCACCCTCCACTCCTCCCCGTTTATTTTCTCTAAAATCTAAAGGTTTGTTTCTCTACAGGTTACTGCAAAATATCCAGAATACATCTGACACTCCACTCCTACCTGCAGTGTTTCAAGTGACACTACATACAAGACTGACATTATGTTAACATTCGACAATAACATTAACTGTCAGTCACATGCCTAGAACTTAAAGAGTCTTAAGGAAAGGAAAAACCTGACTGCTAAGATATCCCATTACTGAAATTCTTTGCATCAATGTAAATGAAGAATAGTTATGCATGCAGCCTTATGCTATGTGAGCAAGTGGCTTCTAGCCCAGGAACTATGTCTTAAACAAAGCCAAGGGGGCATTCAAGCTTCCTGCAATTCCACCATGGGCTGTAAGGGTGAAGCGTAATGAGGCACCATAGCACACCCAGTTGATCCCACTATGAAGAGTGGATCTTTCTTTGAGGCCTCTGGACACTATTAAGCCATCTCCAACGGCTCTGGCAGAACAGGTCTTTTTCCAAGGCCTCTGGATAGTATTATGGCTGTCTCCAACGGGTCTGGAGGCTTGCAGCTCACCAAGCCAACCACGGCAGCTACAGAAACCCTCGAGCTTCGAGGCTGAGGACCCGAGCAGATCTCCAACAGCAAAGGAAAGTGACACAGCCTCAAGGCATCGGCAGCACTGGGGAGAGAGGAGAGCTGCCCGGGATGGCGGCGACAGGGCCAGGCTGGGATGGGA